AGCTATTACATGTAGCTAGTTTGCTAACATCCGACTCACACAAGGTTAGCGTGGCTAGTGTATATCATGCACAGGGAGGACTACGAATCGTTTGCTTCTGTCTGGCTCACCAAGTTGACCAATCCTCCTTTAGAGTGTAGTGTAGTGTAGAATGTAGTTTAACAGAAATACAGAAAAACCAAAACAAATGTAGGTGTACAAAAATGTAGAAATAAATTAAAGACATTTATATGACATTTATATGTTATTCTCTAATTACCAACTTCTTTTTATGCATTTATTCATGTATTCTTTTAGTTCTGTATTTATTGACCTTTTCACTTTATTTGATAGTGACAGTACAGAGAGACAGCAAAGGCAGGGGAGAAAGAGGGCATAGCCTAATGCAGCAAAAGGCAGGGACGTCACTAGGATTGAAAGACAGCGGGGGCTTAGCCACCAGGGCATGTGAACCTTTTGCTTGCAAACTCTTTTCACTCGTATCTTTTGTTACTGTATTAGAACTACTCTTATGCCAACAACCAGTGAAGAAGCCAAGATGTTAACAGGGAAAAAGCGACCGACATATCCTCGTCTTCCATTTCTCCTCTGTTGAACAAAAGTTACTGTAGCCTAATGTTATCTTTTAGACACATCAAAGTTGCATGGGCGGAATTCCACTTAGGCCAGACTGTGCTCCTGCTGACTTCTGCTGTAGGCTATTACTTAAATGCAATCCGTCTTCCCATGTAAATGTATCTATTGTCTCTTAGATAAGTTGCAGAGTGGGATTTTGCTCTGTAGTTTGGCATACAAGCATAAAATAGTTTATCATGTAAGCTGTTGATAAGGATCCTATTTAAAGTGGCCACTGTCTGAATTTAATAACCTGGTGGCGGAAGGAATGAAAGATTTAGAGTAACGATTACTACTTGTATGTATGCATGTATGCATGATTGCTTTCATTTTAGTATATTTTCATGTGTGTATGTCTGTGGGTAGATAATCATGTAGAGCCTAGCCTACATTTAGGCACATCTAAATATTTATTTAATGTATTACTGCCAATAAATGTAGAAGGTTAAGTGGGTCAGAATACAGGAAATATAATAAGTATCATGAAATTATTTAGTTTAGGCTATGCTTTGTTGTCCAGACCACTACTGACATCAATTACACTGCTCCCTCAGAATCTCTGCCCTGCCAATCCTCTCTCTCTCTCTCCCCCTCTCTAAATTATCTTCCAATATCCATCTGGTCAACGAATTGAAGGATATACTGTTACAATAGTATTAACCTGGACACTATGACATTTAGTTTTCACTGACAACAACATTCTATGGGGACGGATTGTTTTGAAATGCTATAGCTAGCTAGACTAACGTTATTGTTTTCTATAGCCAACTACAATATCCCCTTTCCTTCATTATTCATCATTCTCTCTACGTTAGTAGGTGAGTGCTGTTAGTGAGTTACATTTCCATGCCCTCCCATCTCTTTGTGGACGAATGCTGCATTAAAAAAACATTAAAAAGGACTTAAAGGAAGGTGAAGCTTGAAGGCAAAACAAATATCCACATCTTCACATATTTTATGAGGACTTGTATTTATATTTATTTCCACCAAGTGGCCCAGGAGCTAAAGGATGGAGGGCTGGACAGGACTGGAGCCCTCAGGTGGACAGCCTGGGGTCAAGGGTCTGCCAGGGCCCAAGGGCGGAGAAGCAATGAATGATGGCCTGGATGCTGGCAATGTAAGCAGGTCCGCTCTGGAGGTCCAGACAAGCGGAGCAGCTCTGGAGTCCTGTGACGTAGGTGGGACTGCTCTGGAAGACGGCGACAAAGCTGGAGGTCAGGAAAGACATCCGGTACAAGATGATTCGCTGCAAGTCAGGACAGGCTGCTGTATAAGCATCCAGCGTTTGAAATACAGGATTAGAGGAAGACTGTCAGACTGAAAGACAGGCAGATCACCGGAGTCTGCTGCAGGCCAGGAACTGAGGACCGCTGCAGCTCAGCAGAAACAGGTGTTGCCAGGGCTGCCGACTGTGGATCTGACAGGGCAAGTGGCAGTTCTGTGTTGCTGGGCTGGATGCTAGAAGGCTGAGGTGCAGAGACTAGAGTGACTGGTTCAGGAGTAACAGGATGAGGAAGAAAGTTAAGAAAACATTGCCAGTGGGAACATGCCACCAAGTGGACAAATTCAAGATCTCACTTCTAGAAGCAAGTGAGGTTCCTCAGGAAGCATGGATTTTCATAAAAAACATCCTGAGGTGGCGACGCGAGGAGAAATTAGCTGGAAAGAGTAGAGGGCAGAGATAGTGGATGGCAGGACTGATAGATAAAGGTGAGTGTCATGGGCATTTTAGGGATTAGCAGGCAGACAAGCAGGGAGGCAGGCAGGCATAAGATGAGGGATGATTGAGGCACAAGGGCAAGAGAGTTAGGGACAGACTAGGAAGCAACATGAAGAATTTAATCACAAAACTAGAGCCCACTAAAACTAAACTAGAATACCACTGTACCTGAGCCAACAATCTGGCACCAAATGGATGAAGAACTGGGGTTGAAATACTGCCAGGCTGATGAGCCAATGGATATCAGGTGGGCAGGTCCATTAGATGTGCAGAATCAGCAGAGATCCAGGAAATGAGGGATTGCCATGCCCACACCACAAAGGAAACGTGAAGTTGAACAGCACATGAGCCTGGATTACCCGTATCTGTATTATTATTATTATTGGATATTATATTATGCTGCTCTGTAGCCTGGTGGTACAACAGCAGATACTTTTGTTGCTCTTTCCAGATGGCAGCAGGGTGAACAGGCTATGGCTGGGTGAGTACTGTCTTTTAGTATCCTTTCGACTCTGCAGGCACCTCACTGATATTGATATGCAATATATGGGTACCACTGTCATGGGCAGTTGAGTGCAGCGGTAGGAAACAGAGGAGTGGACCCAAATGCAGACAGAGGCGAGGGAATTGCAGTCCAACAAATATTTATTAACCAAGTAAAATAGGCTTACACTGAGAGCTCAGTGGCAACTGAACAAACAAAAGTTACTCCAAACTAAAACATAATCCACAGGGAAAAAACAAAAGGAACAAGGTACAAAACATGGATCAATCCACAAGTTCAGGACAGAACACTCCACACAGACAAGGACATCACAAACACTGAACACAACTGAGGACAATATATACACAGGCAAAGGAGCAGCGAGGGAAGCACAGCTGAAACACATCAGGTAATCAACAACAGGAACAAAGCTAGACAAAAACACCAGGCACAGAAGATTACAAAATAAAGCAGGAAGTAAAGTACTTGGGAAGACACAAGGACAGATCTACCAAAGTAAAACACAAAATATGAAAAAACTGCAAAATCAGGGCATGGACAGAGACTGGACCAAAGAGGAGACAGGACTACACTAAAACATGCAGACATAAGACTAAGGACTAAGACACAGACCAAAATAATAAAACAGAAGTACACAGACCAGGAAAAACACTAAACATGAACTAAAGCACAAGACTAAGAACTAAAACGCAGGACTAAGAACTAAGATAAGAGACAAGACGGATACTAAGAACTTAAACATGCAAATGGAAAACACTAGATTAAGCTACAAAACCCCAAATGTGACAAGATCAAATAAAGCTTACAGAACCAAACCTATGAAAACAGACTAAACAGGAAAAACATGAACACACAACCAAATCCTAACAGTTTACAGTCAGGATGCTTTCCATTGCTCCTCTGTAAAAGTTAAGAAAAACTTGGCACAGGTATTTTGCCTTCTTAAGATTCTCTGTGATACTGATTCCCAGGAACCTAAAACTGTTCACCTGCTCCACCTCAGTTCCACTGATGTAGACAGAAGTGTATGTCTTTGTATCCTTTTTCCTAAAATCATCGATCAGCTCCTTGATTTTGCTGTAGGTTGTTCTTTGTGCACCACTCTGCAAGATTATCGATTTTCACCCAATAGGAAGTCTCATCGTTTATGATGGTGGTATCTGCAAACTTCACAACAGAGTCCTCTCCATGTGGGGGATATAAAAACTTTAAACAGCCTAAATACATTTACTTTAGGCTCAATAATAATGGATATTGGCATACACAGAAAAGAATTAATTATAATCCAATCACATTTGCACACCAATGTCACTGAAATCATGTCTTTTTGCACATGACAGAAATTACAGCGAACTGTGGAAATCTAATCCTTGTAGTTTATATTGTGCTCACATGGTGCAATTTCCTAAATGTAGTTGTGTTATATCAAATAACCACAAACAAACTGAAACGCAACAAACTTGCTGTTATGTAGTATTCCAGTAAGGCAGTTCTAGTTGGTTTTTGTAATGAAGCTGCCGTCTGCAGTGGGCTGTGTGCATTGTACTTGGTGGGAACTTGGAGGCTACAGGGGCCCAGCGTTACATTTTTGTCCTGGAACCCCCAAACCGGTTAATACAGCCATGCCCTACTAGGGTCCCATGTGATACAGAGCCCATAGCCACCATTGAGGACAATGAGGCCATGGTCCCTGTCCTTTTCCTGATAATTGAGGATTTCAGCAACATGGAGTTTAGATTTAACATTTAAAACTTACACATGATGCAAGGTATTTTATTGGCTGATTTGAGTGTTTTTAGACGCAGTATATTAAAATTATTTTAAATAAGAAATCAGTATGGCCACTTTTTTATTCCTGGAAGTGTGGAGGAGGCATTTAGATCACAGTTAGAATTAAAATGACAAAACATTTAATCTAGAAAGAAATCCTACTTGTTTGAGAGAGGATGAGGTCATTTAAGGTGCGTCTTTGTTTGGAGGCACGACGACCCTGCTTCAGAATTGCTTTATGTCTTATTGCACCTTTAAGCACTTAAGAGAAAAGGCTGGAAACTGAGGCGTTCTTGTTTCACATTTGAAAGTTACCCACATTTATTTTGAAGGTTATAAGCGGAAGTCAGCACTTTCACACCACTTGGCTTGAGATATTTGCATACGGAACGTGCGCTGTCGCTGACTTCCGTGGTAAGAAGTGAACTACAACCGTCCGCAGCTCGTTTAGTTTGTTCTGCTGTTGTCTCTGTCTCTCTTTGAACTGCCACGGCGGAACTCGTCATAACAGCCGCTGCGAAGACTGTGCGTGCGTTCATCTGAAAAGTTGAGTATAAACCCAATACGACCTCCTTTTGTGTAAGAAGTCTGACTCATATTTATCCACGTACGTGCATATGAGCACGTCGAGTTTTGTAAAGATACCGCTGGTGCTTTTATCTTTGGCGTCTGTACAAGAAAATGGTGAGTTAACGTTAACCACCCGGCTTGAAATTCAAAACATACCGTGTAACTTAAGTTACTGTAAATAGTTATAGTAAAAAGTTATTTTGGCTGACAGCCATTGTGTGTCTCTCCAACACAGAGAAGTTATTCTCCACATATCTGGAACGCTAGCGTCTTGTAATTTTCCCACAAACAGTTGGCTTTCAGTTGGGCGAGGCTGCTGTAATCCATGGAAGAACAAGTTAAACTGAGGAACAGCTACCGTTACTTAATATTTCACTGAATGTGGAAAATTCCTTTAAACTCTACATATATGTTGTAAATAATGTAACATGGTCAGGTGATGGAATATCTACACTACAAATGTAAGTCTTGATGATGTGACAGCAGCACAGCTGGGGAGTCAAATAAAAGAACAAGAAAAAAGACTTTGAAAGGTATTAAAACAATTGAAACAATACATTCTTTTTCACATAAAGTTTTAATACTTAATATGGTTGCCACCATATGGACTGGACCATTCTGCTAAATTGTTATTCATGATAAACCACACTTTTTATTTATTTTAATTAGGGATGCTCTGATTTGATTTTTTTCTCCCTCAATATGATACTTTAAACTCAAGGGATCTGCTGATACCGAGTACTGATCTGATACCTGGTATATAGTGATAAATAAAGGCATAGGCATCAAGGATTCCTGTGGTATTAAATATTTAATCGGTGGCTCGCTGATAGTGGAAAAACAGAATTTTTAATTGACACTGATTTAAAAACTATGTATTTTACATTTAGTGGTTTTATCTGGCCGATACAGACCTGCTTTATAAGGTCATTATTTCACCAATATTAACCCAGTGTATGGGAATGGTGAGACAAAATATAACTTATCAAAGAAATGAGTAGTGTAGAAACTAGTCATAATCGCACAGTCGCTGGATAAAGGATGTGAATCCTTTGGAATTACCTGGATTTCTGCATAAACTGGTCATAAAATGTGATCTGATCTTCACCTAAGTGAAGACAAACACAGTCTGCTTAAACTAACCCCACACAAACAGTTACATGTTTTTTGTTTTTATTGAACACACGGTGTAAATATTCACAGTGCAGGGGGGAAAAAACTATGTGAACCCTTGGATTTAATAATTGGTTGACCCTCCTTTTGGCTACAAAAACCTCAACCAGACGTTTCCTGAAGTTGCCGATCAGACCTGAACAACTGTCAGGAGGAATTTTTGACTCCAATTAACTTTTGAAGAAGTCATTAGCGTAGCGGTTCACATACTTCTCCCACCCTGCACTGTTAATGTTTACATGGTGTGGTCAATAAAAACATATAATTGTTGTGTGGTTTTACTTTAAGCAGTGTTTGTCTGTTGTGATTTAGATGATCAGATCAAATTTTATGACCTATTTATGCAGAAATCCAGGTAAAGGATTCACATACTTTTTCATGCATCTGTACATAAATGTTTTTTCTCTCCCAATTTTCTTATCTGTCTTAAAACAATACTGAAGTACATATTCTCATGTGTATATTTAAAGTGTTTTTGGTCACCGTAATCATTCCTCCTGTCCACGCTAGCCTTAGAGAGATACCTTTCTGAGGTGATTCCCGTGTAAATGATGGGACACAAAATCACAGCCTGATCACATTATATCTGCCTTGGCTTTAGTTGCTGTCATAACCTTTGCGCTAACTTGATGTCTATGTTTCGGCAGCACCATGAGTCTACGAGAGATCAGTGAGAACGTGAAGCTGGCCCGCGAATATGCCTTGCTGGGAAACTACAGCTCGGCCAGTGTTCTCTATCATGGATTGCTGGAACAAATCAAGAAGTATGTGTACACCGTGCGTGACAGCAGTTTTCAACAGAGATGGCAGCAGGTAATTTTGGCATTAAAAATGTATCAGATAAAACTTAACAGATCCTGTTTTTTCTGATGTTTATCTGTGTTTTGTTTCTCAGTTGTGGCAAGAAATTAGTGAGGAGAATCAACAGGTTCAGGACATAATGTCGACTCTGGAGAACTTTCAGCTGGACACAACGCCTGCTAAACCCAGTAACCATGATGACTGTGAAATAAGGCCTGTGCACGTGGAACAGAGGTATTGCAGTTAGTTACTTACATTGAAAATTAATGAACGGCCTCATGCATTGCTTTAGTAAACGTTCTTTGTTTACTTTTACACCAACTTTGATACTGTTGGAACACTGCAGACCTAGTGCACAGATTTATGATCGGGGGTTGTATAAGCTATTTGTCTGTGAACAATAGCCCTGATGTAGTCACATGATTCAGATTAGTAAACCTGAGGCCCTGATGTGAGACGGTTTTGTTCCTGCTCTGCCCTCTGGAAAGGTGGCCTGTAAACTTTATGCTACCTCTTGGTGTGTTTTTCACTTCACTTAAACGTCTTGTTATTAGTCTTCCGTTAAAACACTTGATGAGCATTATATCGCATATCCTATAGTGTCTCATACATATACACATGTGTGGCCTCCAGGGAATTTCTAAAAATGTATTGGTGATTAATTTGACAGACACAGGATATGCATACATACTGAATAGTCATGAATAGTCAGATTTCAAAAGTCTTAGTGCCTTAGCCTGTCTAGTGTCTTTGTGCAGTCCAGATTGAATCATATCACTGATTAGTGCCCTGCGTGAATAAAACCACAACTAAACCGATATCATGAGTAACATAATTGTTTGGAATGATAAAGACGCATGAAAGGCTGATGGTTGTTAATAGCTCCATCTTCCTCTTCTCTTTTGAAAGACATTCTCCCTGTCCTGTCAGGAGGCCTGCTAACCCCTATAAAGACAGCAAACCTCCCAACAACCGCCTGAGCGTGGCTGTGAGGGCCCAGCTGAGGCACTCGCCTCGCGGACCCAATGGGGACAGAAGCAAGCCCTCCAAGGGCAAAGAAAAGAAGGAGGCAAAGGAGGCCTCTGGCAAAGCAAAGGATGATAAGGTGAACACCATGTTGGTGGTTTCAATGCAACATGATACAGCATATATTCAGAGACGACTATTTACATTGTTGATTAAACGGTATCCACATGCTGCTTGTTTACCTGCAGCCATGCCTAGCCTGTAATTCCAGTTTTCTGCTTGGGAGAAATCGGACCACATGGGTTACATTCAGGAAACGGGGGAAGAGTAATAATGTTTTGTGTCTGCATTCCAGAACAAAGGAGATGTCCAGGAGAAAGAAGTGAGAAAGTTTGACGGGACAGGATATGATAAGGACCTTGTGGATGCTCTAGAAAGAGATATTATATCTCAGAATCCAAATGTTAAATGGTACATGTTCACCTGTTTATATTCATCACTTACGCTTGTAGACTATTGGATAATGTTACTCCTGCTTTCAGTCTTTAGCTAGTAGTGAGCTAGGCTAACTAAAAGCCTCATCAGTAGAAGACGCGAGAAGAGTCTTATTCACTTAGGATAAGATGGCAAACAAGCATATTTCCAATGATGGTGGATTGTATCTTTTTTCAGAAAAAAAGTTCTTCACATTATGTTACCACTTAATATGAAGAGATATAGTAAAAAAACATTGTCATTGCTTGAACGCTAAATTGTTTTGAAATTAGAATTTTTATTTAGGGTGTGCTCAAAATAGTAATGATATTTTAAAGCTGAAAAGAGTTGACTGTTGATTTTCTCAATTAAAATGACATTATGTTATTTTCTGACGCTAACTAGCAGTTCGGCATACATTTCATAAACAAATGGAATTATAATTTCAAAGTTAATCTAAGACCTCTGAACAGGGCCCTGAGGAATTTGGGCTTGTTATGGTTACTTGTCCTGTCAATCTGTTGAACTATTGATAGCCACAGCAGTATAGAGCTGCACAGAGCTAGAAAAGCTCGTTGGCAGCTAGAAAAACATGCCATTATATTAGAAGGTGCAGATTCTTACTCCGCAAGAATGGTAGGAAGTGTGTGTGTGGTTTATCAAGCACCTTTCTTGGCATGATCACTGGCCTTCCTGAGAACTGCCAGGTGTCTTCTCTGTCTAACCTGTTTCTTTAGGGACGACATTGCAGACTTGGAAGATGCAAAAAAACTCCTGAAAGAAGCAGTCGTGTTGCCCATGTGGATGCCAGCATTTTTCAAAGGGATACGAAGACCATGGAAGGTGCTGATTTAAAGAGATTTTAGTTTTTATTTGTTTTGTAATGTGTCACTGATGTCAATGCACAAAACTTCTTTTTTAACTTTAGGGAGTGCTTATGGTCGGACCTCCAGGCACCGGGAAAACACTTTTGGCCAAGGCAGTTGCTACCGAGTGCAGAACCACATTTTTCAACGTCTCTTCATCTACTCTCACCTCCAAGTATAGAGGGGAGTCTGAGAAGCTAGTTCGCCTTCTCTTTGAAATGGTAAGACTTTATTTATGTGACTGGTAACCAGGTAATGTTGTTTTTAAACTAAACATTCAACTGTCAACATGAATCTGGAATACCAAGTAAAATTCTCATAATATAGTGAAAAAAAACTGGGGTCTGACAAAACGTCTCCCATTCATTTGTAAAATTCATGGGACTCCTGTATTACAGTGAATCACACACTTTGCCTTGTCATTTCCCCTCACTTCTCTCTCATGTATGCCACAACATGTCCATCAGAAAACATAGCAAACTGTTTTGAGATTGAACTCGCCCGTGATGGTGTGGATGTGATGGTTGACACTGTTGTGCGTTTTATGCTCATTGTTTTCGTATTCTTGACTCTGTAGTAGCCTATATCTATTTTTGATGCGCTGTTATCAGTATTTTTCCTGTTCTGCCGTTATTTGTAATTATCTACTGACCTCGAACTGAACCTCAGTTACATTTCTTAAAATCACTTATGCTGAAGACCATTTAAAATGTTTTTTCATCTGAGCCCTTATTTCCACACCACCTTTCAACACAAAATGTTGGCAAAGCTCGCAGCATATTACTTATTGCAGAATAATGTTAATGGTGAATGTTCTTTTAAACTGTAAAATCTATCTAACTTAACGTTAGCTTGTTAAATCTACCTTTCTCTTGCGGTCTTCCTCAATACTCGTCTCTCCCTGCCTCTCTTCGGATGTGTGTTGCCAGGTGTGGTGCTGTGGTGTCCTCACTGTCATGTCATACTAAAAGCCTTCGCAGAGTCATATAATTGCGACTTCATGACATTTCATAAAATTCTGATACCTAAGCCCTCTTTCTCTCTAGATTTATTTGGAATTAACTATTAAATATTTGACAGTGTACCTGATTAACTTACTGTACCTGTACTAACTTAGAAACAGTTTGAGAATAGCAAAGAGTTTTTTTATTGGACTCAGTCATTGTGTATGTTGTTGTACAGGCACGTTTTTACGCTCCCACTACGATCTTCATTGATGAAATTGACTCCATGTGCAGCCGCAGAGGGACATCGGAGGAGCATGAGGCCAGCCGGAGAGTCAAGGCAGAGCTGCTGGTGCAGATGGATGGTATAATGCCTATGAGACGTTCTTGTACACTGACAATAACACAGCCACACTTGTATTATATTATATTCTAAGTATTATATTTGCTGTTAGAATTTTATTCTGTGGAACCACTTTATCTGTCCAAAATGATTTGAAACAAGTGAACATTAGTTTTCTGCAGCATTGCCTATTTTCCAGCTTTCAAAAATATGTAAACTGTTTTTTAACTGCAAACAAACCCCAGATAGGAGTGGTTATTTTTCTGAGGCTTTTCCCAGTATTATGGCTTTTGTGCAGGTGTCGGTGGAGCATCAGAAAATGATGACCCGTCCAAGATGGTGATGGTGCTGGCTGCCACCAACTTCCCATGGGACATTGATGAGGCTCTGAGAAGACGGCTGGAGAAGAGGATCTACATCCCTCTACCTTCAAGTACAGTCATTTTTTGCTGCTAGACGGTGTAGTCGCTAGATGTCTCGTGAAAAATGTGATTCATTGAAAGTGATCGAAGTTACTGCAGACTAATATGACGTGAGCTTTTACTGCTCAGCAACTAGAAAACACGACAGATGGACAACAGAGGTCCAGACAGAAAGACTTCATAATGTCTATTAATTGCAACCTTCCTTTGTAATGTGGGATCATACTGGATTAACCTGCCATGGAGGCCCTGCAGAAAAAACAAGCCGTTGGGCCCCTACTTACCCCCACATTCCTTGCATTCTGTACCCTGTCACCTTCAAGTACAGTGCACAAAGCAGATCCGCATGCAGCTTCATTATGTTTTGAGCACCAGTAAACAACCGGTAATCTTTTGCTGCAATACTGCCTGATTATGAGCATGTAAGCACAAAGTCAACATAAATACCAAGTTCCAAAACTAGAATTTGACACTCAATACAGGGCCTCAAGTTCAGATTAGAATGCGTAGTGGTGCATATCCCCAAACAAATTCACAATTAATGTTATTACCACAAACCAACTGAGAGGCAGTGAACCTGGGTCTTTCTGGGACCCAGGAGCATCTGTCTGTATGTATTCCAGCCAACCTTGATCGGGGCCCTTTACACTTGTTACCTGTAGGGATGCACCGAACGTTCGGCCACCAAAAATAATTGGCTGAAAATAGCAAAAAAAAAGCACTTTCGGTGTTCGGCCTAATAAGTCAAAAGACCGAATAATTTTTACCGAACAATTACGCTGACATGTTGGCAGAGTGGAAGCATTTTAAAGACGCACAAATGTCTGTTTGCAGACGCTGTTCTGCTGAATTGTCTCCTAGCACATCCACTCCATCTGTGGCTGACTTCTTAGAAAAGGCAACAAACGGTCTGACCCGCTTTGACTGTTTCTGTCAATCGTTACTGAGAAGGTGAATAAGCTAGCTGCACCTACATTTGGAGTGCACACGTATTAAAGCCTTTATGGTAAATCCACTGAAACGGCCCAGTGCGAGCTGACAGGCAGGTTAGAGACTTTATCCTGTTAGTTTGTCTCAAGTGTTGCAGTATGAGAGTCCTACCTGAAGAGAGGCTGCAAAGAACTACACACATTATTTATCAAACTGGGTCAGACTTGAGGAATTTAGTGCGAGGATACACATGTGACAACTTCCGGTTTTCAAAATAAGGTGTCTATACAGGATGGAAATAAGATTAATTGGATTATAGTCACGGAAAGTATAAAACATAGTACATTTGTTCATTAGAAGTAAATGGACACATGTAATTTACTTTACTGGACCCTCTCGGGCCTCGGACCCCCCCCACCATAGTCTCTCCGAATCCTGTGGGAAACACTGAGTAAAAAGCACATTTTGACTATTTAATTTATGCAATGGTTTCAAAAAAGGAAAAATAAATGTAAAATAATGTAAAAAACCTTGTTGAGTACTCGGGAAAGTTTTTCATAATTGGCTTTCGCCAAGAATTTTCATTTCGGTGCATCCCTAGTTACCTGGTTGGTGTATACTGTATGTGGTAGGTGCTGTAGGCAGAATCATGCTGCATCACGCTGCATTTACATTTGCAGACAAAGGGCGAGTAGAGCTGCTCAGGATCAACCTGAAGGAACTGGAGCTGGCCAGCGATGTGGACTTGAATAAGATTGCAGAGCAGATGGAGGGTTACTCAGGAGCCGACATTACCAACGTGTGCAGGTCAGCCATCACTGCTGTTTTTCATCCTTCAAACCAATGTTGAACTTAATGGTAGTTTCTATTTCTATCAGAAATGAAACCACAAAGATATGCACAGAATATGACCAGTTATTGCTACACTAGATAAAATACACTAAGATTTTAGTGTCCTTTACCTCCCCATAGTTCCTGTTTATATCTCATTCACTGTCAAATTGAGCCAATACTGTAAAGTACTGAGTCTGCATTTTGCTGCTGTTCACCACCACCGTAACCTTTTGGAAAAATAGATGTGACTTGCAGCAAGTTGGTTGAATGCATTTACAGAGGTGTTATATTTACAATTTCTAATTAAAGTTGAGTGTCATCTCCTTAAATCATTTGAAATCCTTTTTGCAGGAATATGCTGTTGTATATGCTTTTGATTCCAAATCAAAATGGTCTGTTATTGCAGTCCGTAAATCAATTTAAGATTTCAGAAGAGCACAATAAAAGCAACCACTGAAAGGATTATTGTTTTGACTAATTCATGCAATAAAAAGCCTCTATTTGAATGTCTGCTGAAACTGAGAAATTTTACTTTTATTGTGTGATGCTGCAGGGATGCCTCTCTGATGGCCATGAGGCGAAGAATCGAGGGCCTCACGCCAGAGGAGATCCGCAACATTTCCCGGGACGAGATGCACATGCCAACCACCATGGAGGACTTTGAGTCAGCTCTGAGGAAAGTGTCCAAATCTGTGTCTGCATCCGATCTGGAGAAGTATGAAAAGTGGATCGAAGAGTTCGGGTCCTGCTGAAAAAACACTAGCATTTGAGTTGTCTTTGTCTGGATGTGCAACTGTTGTTGGAAGATGGTGAGTTTTAGTAGTGAGGTTTTGTCTGTGTATTTGTCTGAATAATTCAGGTGACTGAATGTATAAAGTAGGTTTATTAATTTAGGTAAATATGTGCACTTGAAAAATGGCACCTATTATACATTATGTTAATGTTATGCAAAAGTCTCAATCTAAAATCTGAAGAGTCAACTTGAGGTGTGATCTAGTTTTCTTTCAAATTATGGCATTTGTTACTTTAATGATCCTGAAATCAACAAACATGTTCAACATGCAAGACAAAATTAGCTGTAGCTGAAGAACGCATTGTTTCAATAGACCGTAGAGTTCATTTTCAGATATTTTACTGTGACTTTGCCTTCCCAAGTGTCATAATATTTGCTTAGTATCACTGTGTCTGACAGTGATACTAAGCTTACTGCCAATCAAATGTTACTCCTGTCTTTTTGTAATGCACTTGATTTTTAGTGCGGTGGTTTTGATTTTTGGAAATATAAATTCCTACAAATATAACGCTAACAAGATATTTCTATGAATAAAGTTAACAAGGATTACATGAATACATGGAAGTGTTTTTACTAAGCAGTGTGTCTGCTGGGGAAACAACACTCAGATGACATACTGAAACATTTCTAACTTGAGTATGCATTATAGGCATGCTGGCTCCAGAAGCGTTGCATGGTACGGGAGTCTTGTGACTGTTCTTCAAAACATTTGTTTATTACTGTATTTGGTTCAACATGGACATGATTTGTCAAGTCAGTTGTCAAACCAAAGTCAAAATCATACATGAGTCCATCAGTTTTAAGATATTGCTGATGTGAAATAAACAGTTTCTGCACATTTTTATCATATCGACTTTACGGCTTAAGTGTGAGTATAAGTGCAGGGCTCAGAAGTCATTAAAAAAGTTTATTGTGGGGCACCCTGGTGGCCTAAGGGTTTAAGATGCTGACCATATAATCGCAACTTTCCCAGTTCATGTCTTGCTAGGAACTTCCTAACATCCTTCGTCCTTCTGTGTTTATTTCCTGTCAGCTCTCTTCTGTATCCTGTCCAGTAAAGGCAAGGGTTAAAAGCGCTGAACCTTTCTGAAAATGACCAGATAGCCTAGGGCTGGACAATAAAACAATAACAAAAAATATCATGATATAATTTCTTTCAATAATACAAATATTCAATAAATGTTTGACTCTATTCACTTGAATTTTTTTTAAGATATTAATTTTGTTGAGGGGGGAAAAGGACTAACAAAGCTTTTATTTAATTGTACTCATGTATATTTATTATTGTTTTGAATGTTCTACTTCAGATTTGTGTTTGGCCTCAAGTGTTGACCATGAAGACATAAACCACAGTTAACCATAAGGTTTCTTCAACTTTCACTCAGGAACAAAAATCAGCCTTTAAACTCAAAAGAAATAACAATTTGATACTTTTTATCGTGAGCTCATTTTTGGCCATATTGTCCAGCCCTAAGAGCCTTAAAATTACTTTTACAATACCAGTACCCTTAAAGTGATGCAGATACCAAATGAGTACTTCATTTGATATGTTGCATAAAATGTCACCTGTTGAAGCCATAGTAGTTGATTGGTAGCTTGTAATTATTTTTATTGTTGTTATGGACAAGCAAGGTAATCTATTTTATTTTATTTCAAATAACTGCTACATAAAAAGTATTGGGAAATTGCGTCACATCGGTCCTCATCCTAATTAGGTCGTCCTCACTGGTAGTATTGGCCTATGAGGGAAAGACTACAGCTTAGGAGTTATTTTATATTTAAATGAGAGAGGAGGAGTGAAATAGTTTAGTGACCAAATAAGTTGTGGGAAACGTATTTAAGGTATTTTTTTGAAAGTAAACAACGGAAGATTATTTTATTAACTTTAGATCAATCAACTGAATTGAAAGATCTCCACGAACTTTTTCCTTTATTGGTGAGTCGCAAACCTCTGAAAAGACGACAGTCTCAAGTAGAAAACGAAAAAAAGCAGTCTGTTTAAACAAGTCACTAAAGACTCAGAGTAAAGACAAGCTGTACGTCCAGCCAACCAAACCAACTACACCTGAAGCAGCTGCAGCCAGAGGCTCTGAGAGTAAAATCAGCTGATCGCCACAAAAGCCTTTAATTGATGTGATGGAACGCAGCGATCGATCAGTGACAGGTGATGTGAACAGCAAATAAAAATGTACAGAGAAGTGTTAAATGATCCTTTATCCCATTGTATGAAAACCACTCCATGCCTGATTTGCTGTTGTGAATTGTGAGTTCACTCCAGATTAGAGACTTTTCTTATCTACCAGATATCAGAACAATGCAGCAAGTGTTCAGTGTGCTCTCAGCCTGCAGAACCCCAAAAATCAGACGAGACAAAGCTTGATGGTCATAAGGAAAGCATTTAATCAGCAGGATTTTAGACCCAAATACACAGTCCAGCTGTAACTCATACAATGTATGCACACAAATGTCTCAAAATAGTAACACATGGGTCTGTCTCCACTTAAACAAAGAGCAAATTAAATTATTCTTCAGCCACACATGTCAATTCATGCCTGACATTGTTTGCCTTACAGGCTCATTCATATTGAGTTCATCATTTTGGAATTTGAGGTTGATCCCAATGCTGGTTGAGCTGTTTTGAGTCATCATGCAGCTTTCTAGTTTTAATGTACAGTATAATTCGCTGACAGGACAGCAAACTGCATTCACTAGCTAGACTACACATGCACCTTTTGCTATCACAGTACATCATGCATTCAGCTGTTTAATTGAGCCCCGGGAGACAAAACCATAGCCTCGGCTGAGGTACACAATCTGATGTTTTAAGGGTGTTTTTTAAAAAGCATGGCAAACACATGTTTAAAATAACACAAAACCATGTTGAAACACTTGCACTTGCTGAGTTTTAGATGAACTAAACCCACTTTTTTGACCAATAACCTGCCTTGTGCACACCTTTTTTGGTCCCTCACACACGGCCTAGTGAAACATTGGGAGTGATACTTGGGAGGTTTATGTCATTCTTGCCTTTAAATCATGACAAGATTTACCACAAAATACAGTATGAATAAAGTAACATCCATGCACGTTCATGTCCAGTTTTCATTCCAAAATTCAATAATAAGTGCAGATTCTTTACTTAAGTGACAATTTACACACTGAATTTGTGGTCATGTCTTGTGCACACACTGTATTTTACAGCCATGTCATAGCAGTAGTTTTTCTTATGTTTAGAGTGCATAGACAATCTGAACAACCTCACTTACATTCTTCATTGTTAGTAACAGGAAACCACACACAAACAAAGAAAACTATTATAACCCCCCCCCCCCTTAGTGATAAGTGTCCAAGAAATACTGACCGAGGCACTGTGAAGAAAGACAATCGATATGAGCCTCAACTGTGGGCAGCAGGCCTTGAAGAGAGGTGTTTTTCTGTCATATTTAGAGTTGTGGGAGGAAAACATTTTTCACTGAATGTGCAGACACAAGATTTGTAATAACATTTTATCCAGACACAGTGATCTACATGTTTTTTGTTTTTTGTTTTTACTTAATTCATCTGAGCTATCCATAACAGCTATTCAACAACGATTCAAATGTAATCACCTTAAGAATTCATCTTCACGTAAAGGACAACAGACAGGAGACATTGCCTGTCTCATATTAAATAAATATACTGAATAAACTCAGTGCATTTGCTGCCTTAGAGTTTTCTTCAATATATATATATTTTGTTTTACAATAGTGGGGTAGATTTCTGAAAAAAAGAGAAAAAAAAGTGTGAGCTATAGGCCTACAGAACTGCTACATATAGAAAGTTCTTTCAGTGAACATAAATTGTTGGATGCAGCCCCTAAAATGCTCAGTTTGTTCATATTCATTTTCAACCCTGCAGTGCTTACAGCTGCTTTCCCAAGCTTGTGTCTATTGTAATATGTGTTGCTAGGTCTTCATAAAAAGAAAACAAAACCAATTCCACCAAGTCCATTTAGTGGCTGCACTAAGCTAAACGGCTGCTGGCCAGAGCTTAACATTCAAGCTTAACAACTCTCAGCAAGAAAGCAAATAAGCATGTTTAGTAAATATAGGAATATGTCACCTTGCTATGACATGTTTTGGAAGTGTGTGAAGCAAAATTACTTGATTTGTAGGTATTTTCTAGTAAAAAGTAACTCGTTACCAAGCTAGTTACTTTAAAAGGCAGTGTGACAAAGTCATTCGTGACTTAATAAAAGTTGCTTTCCATAAACTAACTAATAATCTGACCAATCACGATGATTGCACGGATGCTGGTAAACACACTGCAAGCTTACCATCAGTCCAACAGGAAAGAGCTGTCGGTTCCTGACATTTTCTTTTCCATTCTGATCATGTGACTTAATTTGCGGGATTCACATGGACTAGCAATAAACCTACAAACTGAGTTTAGTCAGTTTGTTAGATTTAAAGCACCTCCTGTTCCATGGCTAATGTGCTTAAAGGGTACTTTCAAGTGAAAACAAAACCTAGTGGTTCACTCTTCTGAATAAAAGCTAGCAACAAAATCAAGCCATGCTGAAAACGTAACACAATAACCAAGGCTAAAGAACAAATAAGAACAAATTGAAAATAAAAAGGAGCTGACCAAGTCACTTCTCATTCAAGGCTTCTTCTCTTCTTCCTCTGCTTCTATTTCTATGTTCTCCAGCAGAGTGTGCTTCTCCTCCTCCGGCATTAGAGTGACAGGGTTTAGGTGAAAAATGTGCCTGTAAAAAACACAAAACTAAATTAATATAATAAAGATAATCAGGTAAGTCAGCTGGGGCCTGTACCAAGAAGCAAGTTCAACATACCTTGCATATATCTTTTTGTTATCCTTCCCTAACTAACAATCGGGATTAGCGTTACGACGAGTAAATCGCCGTAAAAGAGGCGGTGTTAGCAGCACATGACCAATCGCAGACAAGAACAAGTCTACTGGCAGCAGAGCAACATATTTTACAAATGAAGACCAAACTGTCATATTAGACAAACAGACACCGTCTAAGTAACACAGCTGCAGCTGACACATGCAGGAAGACAGTGTGAATGCCTTAATGAACAGGAGTGGTCTATAATAATGTGTTGATTTGATGTGTTCTTATGGCGTCTTTGAAAATATCAGCGTCCTTCTTTCAGCTCAGCTGTGTGTCCTGGTTTTGATATTAAAAGCCTCAGCCACTAAATAAGTGGTCGTTCCAACTGACTTAAGAATTTCTGGTCACTTTAAAAATCAGATTAATTTATTTAGCGCACTCAATTGTTCCAAACGTTGTTCTAAAATAACTTCATGAAGCAACGAAACAAAAAACCCATTCATGCCATAAAATGTGCTCAGGAAGTGGTCAAAAAGACTGAATCTCAACATTTAGGCTACTGAAAACTTCCCGCACATTAACTTCACCCACATCGCAAAAGGTGGGGCGCTACATGACCAGTATAATACAAGACAGCTACTAACCTAAAATAAATTCATATTAAAGTTAATTTCAATAGGTCTACCAAACAATATGCTCATAATATTCAGCCTCACATAAGAAAAATCAAACCCTTTTATTTCAATGGTTGCAACAGGCTGTGTGACTTGAACGGACTTGGGAGCAACAAAAAAATTTAAAACACATTTCAAAGCGGTAAGTAGGCTTATCTTAAAAACCTACAAGTATTAGCCTACAAGGCTTTAGTAGCCTACTTTAATCAGTGTCTTTAGAATGATATTGCTATACCTAAGTTTCCGCATCACTGCAGCAAACTGTCTGTGGGATCTACGGGTGATGTCATTTTCTAAGAGATCTGATTGGTCTCTTATCTGGAACATAACCTGCTCCGGAGCAGGTTAGCCGTTAAGCATACGTTACCATGGAGATCTACCCTGTTAACCCTGAAATTACCTCGAGAAGCTCAAATCCTGCTACGTGGTACAGGCCCCAGGTCAATGATGGCGTGGTAAAGTGCTTGCCTCTAGATGTTCCAGCACATTATTTATTCACTCATAAACCCCATTAAACAAACTCACTTGTGTTCACAAGTTGGGAAAAACATGTCCAAGATCTTGACGATGATCGCTGATCCGACAACGCCGATCACCACCACCCACATGACCAGGAAGAAAAGAGGCAGTGACTCGGAGCTGAAGCGCTTCAGACGCTCCCTCACTTCCTCCACCCACTGACACATGGCCTGAGGAGAGGACGGACATGAACACATGAACATTTCCTGCAGGTACAAGGCACCACTGGTAATACATATTACAGAAGGGTTTTCTGAGCTTTATGGGGAGATCTTATGTCAAACTGCATGAATCGCAAAAGTAATGTATGGAAATGTTCAATATCCTAAGAAGGAAACTTCTCTTTTAACTCACCATACACCATCTGGTGTATAAGTCGGTGGATATTTCTGCACAGAAGCACATGTTTTAATGTGTTACTGCGCGTTGGATTAATTGTGCAAATGTTGCTCTGGCTCTACATGATCAGTGCTTTGGTGATCCATTTGATGTGCATTTTGAGTTTCGGCGTGTGACAAGGAGAAAGCTGATAGAGGTGCAGACAATTACTTTGGATGGATGTAAATAGGAAACCATCTATACATACAGCAGGTGTGACCAGTGTCAACTTAAGGAAGTAATATTGTTTTACTGCAACATTTGTTCGGTCTATAACTAAGCTCCCAAATGTTAATATTGCCCCCAATAATAGCGTCCCAAAATTTTCTCAAGTTTGCATAACTTTAAAATCTCTTTCTTCATCACACCTGAACCTGGCTCACAATATTTTCTTTAACAATCAGTGCATCCCTACGAATGACTTTCCCTTCCGTGTTTATTTCAAGAGACCGCCAACAGTCCAACTTTCCTCCTGAAATGGCTAGACCTCTGAGACAGCACATACCGTTCATCAGCTACCATTTCTTCAACAATCAGACTTGGCTTACAGAGTAAGACGATATCAGTTCTTTGGGCGGTGATTCCATCTGAATCCGATCCGGCTGGCTTGGTTCTCTGTCATCAAATTCGTCATCATATCTGACATCATACAGCAGGTCGGGGTCCATACGCAGCGGAGTCTCCGGGAGCTTTCCAGGGGCTGCAATCTCCTCCTGGGTGGTCTCTGTGTGCTTCAGGGGGTACTGGCTAGTAGTATGGGAGATCAGCTGTTCTTCATCTGATTAATAAGAATACACATGTCATTGGATTGCTATAGAGAGTCTGCGTAATAATAATAATTATAATTAAGGTCAGAAAAGGCATGCATGTTTTCATACCTTTTGTGGGATTTGGTGGATCTGTGACAACCACATCGTTCTCCCTGGGAACCCTGAAGATCTCACTGTGTCCAATGGGGTAGATGTTGGTAAACTGAGCCAGCTTCTGGAAATCTGGGCTCATGAGTATTTTCACCTCACACATGTCGGGCTGCTGGACCTAAAGGATAAAAACCCAAAAGGTGTCAAATTATTGCCTTGCATTTTTGCATTTACAAAACTTCTTCATGTTACAATTCATTAGCACGGGGGGAAAAAAGATGGAGTGTCATTATTCTTAGAAAATACTGAATATTATTGGTTATACGTTTTGAGGTATTCCTCGAAAATAACAAAACAAGGTTCTGTGGGTATTTCTCCCTAAAGTACATGGTAAAGGTTTCAACATTTTTCCTTAAGGAAAACAAATGGGTGCAGTTTCAAAACATATGTGCAACATTTCTTACTTATTTTTTACATCTGGACAGACTTGTGTCATGTTTCACAAAATTTTAATTTACCATAAGATTTGTAAGACATAAAAGATTCCTAAGAGATATTTACCTCTTTGCCCTCCATCTCTATTACTTCACTGAACACCTGCAAGGCCACCACCTCCTCTGAGTCGCTGTAGAGCCGGTTCTGGCTAACCATCACCCGGGTGACAGTAGACACCAAGTCCCCAGATTCAAAGTCACTGCTTCCATTGATGCGGTCTACTGGAAAAAAAAAATAACATAAGAAATAATAAAATAAAACATTAAAATATGCAGGATAAAAGAAGAAGAAAGAAACAAGAATAATAACACTATAATAAATAGGCAGCTCTGATAATATCAGGATATGCTTTCGGATAATAGTGCATTTTTAGAAGACACTTAAAATAAAACAATGACTCAGACAGCCTAATTTCCTCAGGCAGGTTGTTCCAGTGCCTCAGGGCCCTGACAGCAAAAGCTCTGTCCCCTTTAGTTTTCAGCCTGGATCTCAAACTACACAAAGCCTTATCAGGAATTAAAAGATCCAAAATGTAATCTGTAGCCAGGTCATAGAGAGCCAATAATCTATAGCATCTTAAAATCAATCCTAAAAAAAAAAAAAACAGGGAGCCAATGTAAAGAGGCCAACGCAGGTGTGGTGTGATCGTACCTCTTGGTTCTGCTTAAAAGCCAAGCAGCTGAGTTCCGCACACTCTGTAGTTGTTTCAAGGCTTTTCAATTTAAACAAGAGTAATAATGTAACTTTCAGTGATGGGACTTAAATATCCTACAGAATTAGTTAATGAATCCATCAAATAAACACTAATTTTATTTATAGATTTTGAATTTAACATTAAGTCGTTTATAAGTAAAACTCCATGTGATTGTAAACTTAATACATTTGACAGTTGAAGGTGTCCTTGTGAAAGCACACATCTTGTTTGATAAAGATGTGCTGTGGCAAAAAAACTAAGGAGAAAAAGAAAAAATGACAGAAAAAAACTCATCTCCTATTGGAGAGGTTTGTGTTATAACTGTTTAGTACTTGGATGTGTGATGTGAGGAAAACTCACACAGAAGTGCTTGACAGTTGAACCTGGTGACCCCTGACAGCTCTACTGGGATGTCATTGACCAGCACCTGCTCTTCTCCCACCGATATGTTTAAATTGATCTGAAAAAAGAAATACGAAGGTTAAGGCTTGGCTGGTCGCAGACCCGCCTCTGTAACTTCGCTTGGTAAATTGGCTTGGAAATCACTGTTTACCTGCAAGTTGTTCGAATCCTGTAACTGTGTGTCCGCCAATGTCCCTGCTGTCACGTTAATCAGGATGTTTTCCTATGGAGATAGATAATTTGAAAGAAAAGGAAAAGAAAACACACATAGACGTGAGGTTTAACAGCACAATGTCTGCCAGCCAGGGTATTTCTAACGCTGGACGACCAGTAAGCTAACGCTGTATGCTAACATAAACATCGTCAAGCGCATTAGCTTATTAATATTTGCTGCTGCTGACATTTACCGCTCTGGGTCTTACCGTATTCAGTTGCCTTGGCGGCGACTCTGTGCACGTTACTGTGGCAAAAAGAAGAACTATAACACTAACTGCTAGCCCTGTCATTTCCATTTTGTGTTGACTAATCTTAGCAGCAGCAAGACAGCTAAAACAAACACATTGAGGAAGAAGACATATGTGCTGCGCACGCGCAGGGAATTCCCAAACACTCTTGTCGCGAGATTTGGAACTTCAGCATGGCGGTTCTCCTTGAAACGACGCTGGGCGATATTGTTATTGATTTGTTTACAGAAGAACGGCCTAAAAGTAAGGAAATGAAGTAATTTCCAAATAACGGCAGCTAATTTCGTGAAGTGGTTGCTGGTTGAGTAAACTATGGACCAGCTGAATTACAGAATAACTGGATGCTAGCTAAGGCTATGTTAGCTTGCTTGCATCCTTTTCATTTGTTTATTTAACATTAGCAAACATTTCATGATAATTCAGTAATGGCAAGAAAACTGGAATAAATTAATCCACATTATTTTTAGCCATACGTTCTTAACGATGTTTAGATGCTAAGAGTTAAGTGTTGTTAAGGATTTGGAATATTGAGTGTCTGTTGTACTCTAACCTAACGTTATGCTCTTTTCTTTTGAAGCTTGCCTCAACTTTCTGAAATTATGCAAGATAAAGCACTACAACTACTGCCTCATCCACAATGTTCAGGTAAACCTAAATGTTCCCTTGAACACGTCTGTAACAGAGCTATAAATCCATCTCAAATATTTTCAGTTGAATCAAAGCGCAAACTTATCCGTTTGAAAAGTTCAACACAGACATTTCAGGCTACTGTTCATATATGGACTACATTATCAAAGTTACGTTACTTTTTGAGCTCATGCGCAGGTGTCCTGGGCTTCTGAACAAGCCCCAAAAGCCACCGCTTCACAAGTGACAGGTTGCTCAGTGAAGTCTGTGGGTTCCTGAAAGGGACAACTTACAGAATGCAGAGAGGATAGTTCTGATAGTTTGAAGGGTGTAGATAGATTATTGCGTTCGGTTCCTGTAGCAAGTCAATGTGGCGGGTTTCGTAGAATCTAAAAATACTATAAACAATATTATAATGGAAATGGGAATCTCACAAGCTTTACCATAAGTGCAAAACAAAGTAATTATCTGCGGGTGTAAACATAATGTCAAGGCAAACAAATATCCATATCTGCAAAGAAAGTTACATTTGGCCTGTGTGGAGGTTGCATAGGCTTTAAGCCCCTGGAACATGTTACACACAGCAGCAGACAGCATTGTCACAGAATGAACGCGGACGGTTTGGGCTGATCAGGTGCTCTTGAACACACTGAGCTCTTCTAATTTATCTGTCCAGCTTTGAGATCATGTCAGACGTGCTGCAACAATGTGTCTGTCTCCTCCTCAGAGAGACTTCATTGTGCAGACTGGAGATCCCACAGGGACAGGGCGTGGTGGAGAATCTGTCTATAGGTCAGTCGTCTTCATCGCCGCTGTTGACAATTTTTTTACACCACTAGTTAAACACTTTGACAAATGTTCTCTTCTGTGTGCGATTAGCAAACTCTATGGGGACCAGGCCCGCTTTTTTGATGCAGAGAAAACGCCACGCATCAAACACAGGAAAAAGGGGACGGTTTCCATGGTTAACAATGGAAGTGATCAGCACGGTTCTCAGGTGAATAAGATGAACATTCACACTGTTGTTTGTCCTGCAAGTTGCAAAAATGTAGCAGAAACAACAGAAAAGCATGTACTAGTTTGATGTTTTCACTTGATCAGTCAAATTTAAAAATAACTTTTTATAAAACAGCTGATTAATTGAAGAAACCCTGGACTACAGTTTCATACAGTAGTAAGTCTTGGATATGTCCAATACAGAATGTAGTATTTTTACGCCTTGTTACATCGAACCATGGACTTCCTGTCTGGTCTTACCAGTTTTGCTATTTTTGGTGTGATAGATGTTGTGACAAGTGGTGGACAGTGTTTTTGCTTTAATAGCATAAACCATGTCTAATTTACAGATCAAATGATCTGTGCAGGATGTGTTACATGATGAGCTTAATCTGTCATTCCTGCCCTCAGTTCCTTATTACCACGGGTGAGAACTTGGACTACCTGGATGGAGTCCATACTGTCTTTGGGGAAGTGACAGAAGGCATGGATGTCTTGACCAAAATCAATGAGACCTTTGTGGACAAGGACTTTGTCCCATTTCAGGATATCAGGTGAACTAAGAAAAAAACTGCCTATGTAGTAAGCAGCCAAACTTTTTACTGCGTTTCATCAAGTCTGTACCAGCACTCTGTATAATCACAATGCAATTGAATCCCATCTAATCTATATTCGAGCAAATGTGTTTTTGAAGCTCTATTTAAGTTTTCAAATGAAGGTTTTAATGTCTGTTGTTATTTTAGCAATCCTAAAAAAAACACCTCAATTTGAATAGTGATTTGTTGGATTAAATAAGATCTTCTTTTTGTTAATTAAAGGTATAATGAGTAGGATGATTCTGCGCAGCCCTAGCCTGTCTATCCAAAAAACATCAGATAAACATGGCATAAAGTTTTTATCATGAGATGAAAATGTCCTTTCGCTGCAGGATAAACCACACAGTGATCCTGGATGACCCTTTTGATGACCCTCCTGACTTGCCAGTGCCTGATCGATCACCTGAACCTACCAAAGAGCAGCTAGATGTGAGTGCAGTGCTGCTGTTGATTCATTTTTTCCCTCTCAGGCAAAAACATAAAGCTGAAACTGACACTTCAGATCACCCATGCTTGGCGAACCTTATTTGGACAAATAAACACGAAAAATGTATACAGTATATGTGAAAACAATATAAACTGACTACGGTTCATGTGCAGAGTGGCCGAATCGGAGCCGATGAAGCGATCGACGATATGGATGGGAAAGGAGCTGAGGAGTTGGAGGAGAGGTTGAAGGAGAAAGAAGCCAAGACTCAGGCCATCCTGCTGGAAATGGTGAGAAGCAGAAATCTTCTCTCAGCCTTCAACTGAAGATACCAAAGTTGTAGATATCCTTCCACTCTTCTTTCTTTTATTCCTCCAGGTGGGCGACCTCCCTGACGCAGACATGAAGCCTCCAGAGAACGTGTTGTTTGTGTGCAAACTGAACCCAGTAACCACAGACGAGGACCTGGAAATCATCTTTTCTCGCTTTGGGTCCATAAAAAGGTGACGCCAACCTCCAAATTCTACAAAATTTAGAATTTCTAAAGAAAATATTTGCGATTTGTGCTTACCTCCTAAAATATTTCTCATGTTACTCTGTTGTGTGTAGCTGTGAGATCATCAGAGACTGGAAAACTGGAGATTCCCTCTGTTACGCTTTTATTGAGTTCGACAAGGTGAGTGTTTTAAGTGTCTCCTTGAGATACAAAATCTAAATTGTATATGTGCATAGATACTACACAAAGTATCTGAGGCTTATTCACTTTCTTTCTGAGAGTGAGGTGAGAAGATTAATATTTATTTAATTACTGCGTGTCAAGTATGAACCTTGAGTCCGAATGTGATTAGCCCAGCTTAGCATAAAGACTGTGAATGGGGGAAGCAGATCACCTGCGTGTATTGTCAACGTGTTTCTGTTAGATCTGTATAAAAATGTAAAAGCAACAGTTTGTGATTTTGTGCTTATTCCCTTTATTTCAAACTGTTGAACTAGGGTAACTTTACAAGATGCTAATAAATTTACAATACATCATCCTACCTGTAATGATGTGTTTTTAGAAATGCATACATTCTGAAGTAATCATTTAAAAGTGTAGTGTTCTGTGGGTTTTTTTTATAATGTGTTACGTGAAAACGGAAGCAGTTTCCCAAATCAGGGAAGGACCCCTTTAAAGTCTGCTGTCCAAAACTGGTATATGTTATAATGGATTAACAAGCCTGTCACATTGTTGAGACTCCTCCCCTAAATGTCTTCTAGTGAGCATTTAATTGACATCCACAACAGGCCTCAGTAACCCACAATCCATTGTGCACACGGGAGTTACTTGTTTAATGGTGTGTTTAAGTGGTCCTACATTGTATCTATTGAAAGTGACAGATAAAAACCCCATCAGGATGTGATCTCAGTCACGAACTTCACTGTTGGAGTTTTCTAGCAATCATTACGTGCAGAATTATGACAGAGAATCAGAGTATAGAGAAATTAACCTGGTACATGGCTAGCTCACGGTCCATTGTTGAAATAAAATGTTAACTTGTAAACCTGGGAGTTTGCCCCAATTTATGTATTTAGCACTCCCCCTGTGGTAAATGTGTGTTTACGCCTTTGAGTTAATGATGAACATTTTCATTAGTTTTGTCAGTGGATTAAACTGGTTATGGTGAATCTTCTGTAGGCGGACTGCAGGATTTGCCGCTGGCCCTCAGTCCTCTGAACACCTTCGACAATGGACTGTAAATAGAAGGAGACAACACCTGTAGCCAAAATCTTAAGAATCAGTGCCTTATCAAACCATTCACTGAGCCCTCGTGCTCTGGGGATTTGGGCATTGTCGTCCTGTAAGAAACCACTCCAATCATTCCTCTGTGGGCATATGTTGACAGATATATTTGAAATGATAACAAGGACAATCAAAACATCAAGTCAGTGTCAACTGCCTGGTTAGTTACCTGGTTAATTAACTGGTGATGGCGTATAGATAAGATGCTTGCCTTTGTTGTGGGAGACCTGGGTTCGATTCCCACTGTGAGACATCCACCATTGTGTCCCTGAGCAAGACACTTAACCCCTAGTTGCTCCAGAGGCGTGTGACCTCTGACATGTATAGCAATTGTAAGTCGCTTTGGATAAAAGCGTCAGCTAAATGAATAAATGTAAATGTAAATAGTGCTGGTGAAGTGCAATGAATATTTAAACCATTAGAGGGTGCTGGGCAGTTAGATTGTGTGTTTTCACTCAGACTTCTACCAGTGACATCCAGATATGTGATAAAATCATGTTATGAAATATAATTAATTGTCCTTGCTACAAAAGTTGTCATTATGAGTATGAAGATAAAGGGACCCTAGGGGGTATATTTAATTCAAATACTCCCACTGTGGACATATCCCTTTTTACAGTATGTACTTCTTAAACTCTGGTTGTGCATACCAGATGCCCTTCCATCACTATGTTAAATTTCTGAGCATCTGGTTGAAGCAGTGATCTGGCACTTTACAGCAAACTTCTCTATAAACACAGTCAATGAAAGCCTTTGTTGTTGTTAGATATCTGATACAAAGTGAAGGATCTTTTTTTGGAAATGATTCATTCTATATCCTTCCAGTTGCTGTAATTCACTTGCAATGTTTTGCAACATTGTTTTTGGTTTTCCTGGTTTGGAGAGGAACCAGGGGTTTGAGGAGATAATAACTTCAAGAAAGTTTTTTTGTAGTGTACCAGATGTGTGAATCTTGAGATTTGTTTATGTAGTTGAAAGTTTTGACGTACTTAAACATAATGGCCATAAAGAAATAAGAGCTGCCGTGATTAATTGATTTATACAGATAGACAACCATAAACTGAGTCATTAAGTCATTTTTTCAGCAAATACTCCAAAGGTTCTCTGGTATCAGCATCTCCAGTGTAAGGGTTTCCTGTTTTTTCTCTGTTTTATGTGTAAACTGAATCTTTTGGAAAATTTGGAGTGTTGCTCTGACAAAACAAAACGCATTAAGACGTCACCTTGAAAATTGTAATTGACATTATTCATTGTTTATATAATTCTGTCTCATTTGTATTCTGACTGTTGTAGAAAATAATGTGCAATTTAATCAGTTATGGAAATAATTTAGTTGGAAATAAAAATAACTACCAGTTGGAAATTCATATTTTGAGTCAATTTATTTCCTAAACAAGCTGTATTGCTCTTCCTACCCTTTAGGGTAACCCCTTTAACAATTTAAGTTGTTAATTTGCTAATGACGTTATTAGATCTCCTGTTTTCTGCAGGACCTGGCATTTACTTCACACTACAGTTCCTGTCTTACCTCTTGGATGCTTTCTCTCTCCACAGGAAGAGGACTGTGAAAAGGCCTACTTCAAAATGGACAACGTGCTCATAGATGATCGACGCATTCACGTAGACTTCAGCCAGTCAGTAGCAAAGATTAAATGGAAAGGGAAAGGTATTCATTCTGAATATTTCTCAAAATGAATACAGCTCTGACATTGTTTTGTAAGGAGAGACCTAACTCATGGCCTTGTCTGTTTTCTAGGTGGGAAGTATACTAAAGATGACTTCAAAGCCTATGAGAAGGATGTGGAGAGTCGATCCAAACTGGCTCTCAAGGATCAAGTAAAGCCTAAACAAGAGTATCCTTGTGTGTTAATAGGATGGGATTTCATTTCCACTTCATGTCATAACCAAGCAAGAAACGCGCATCTGAAAAGTGAATGCAATGCTGCAGTGCCTTGAACCTGCATTTTTTTCTAATGGGGGGCAACTCCACTGGTATCGTATAGAAGTCTATGAGAAATGACCCTACTTCTCACCTGATTTATTACCTCAGTACACTTTCCTAATAAGTTTATGGTCTGAATTGCTAGTTTCAAATCTTCTTCAACACAGCATGATGTTCATTTTGTAATTTATGGTCATATTTAGAGGGAAATAGACAATAAAGCAATGCTTAGCCAACCTGTCAATCAGAGCAATGCACATCCCTATTCAGCTCCACCCTGTTGTCCAAATGTGGTCTCTTCTGGTTCCAAACAAACAAGATGGTGACAGCCTAAATAACAACAGTAACAGGCTTCAAAACAGTAGTCCACAAACCAACAGGTGACGGGCGGCTACATCCACTTCTTTCATACAGTCTATGGTCATAACATACAAGTCTGTGGTATTTTACTGTACAACCACTGTTGTGGTGGCCTTTTCACAGTTTGATATGGTGAACCTTTCAGCACTGACATTTTCAACTTCCTGGAGATTTCCATAACTTTCCCAAAAGTTCCAAGTATGACCTGCTAATAGAGGAGGAAGAGGAGGTGTCGAGCCATCGCCACTCTGAGAAGAAACACAAAGAGAAGAAGCACCATCATTATTCAGATGATGAAGACAGCAGGAAGCCCAAAAAGTACAAGGTATTTCACTTCATGGTACCTTTCACATATTCCCTATACTCTTTAAATGTGTTAAGCCAACACAACCATATTGTAATATAATGTTATACTCTCCCTATGATAATTTAAACAGTTAATTTGTACTAAAGTTCACATACCCAAGACACCTCCAGCTTCTATAGTCCATTCCTCCTGAAGAGTGTGTTATGTGCAGTTTCTTTTTATTTCTGCTTTTACGGCAGTGAGGTGGTATCATCTTGAAGCTACAGAGAAGCTGATATAGAATTCAGATTTTTCAAAATCTGTTAGGTAGGAATACATTTGATGTACTATGCAAATCATCACAAGTTACAAAGAAGAAAAAAACTCCACAGTTTATTCTGAACTTTCAAGTCCAGACTCCCACATTGTATGAGCATTTGAATATATGTAAATGAGTGCTACATTCTGATTGTCTCTGGAAATATTTGTAAAAATTATTCTGATTTTATGACGTAGAAAAAAACACAATGGCAGACGCTAATTGTTGCGTCTTTGCCATTAAATAAATGGCAACTGTAAATGCTGGTATCACATTCATACAACTCTTTTTTTGAATGTATGCTGAATATCAAATGTGTGTGTTTTTTTTTAAGTCACTTGTAATAGGTTCCTTGAATTATTTTATAAATTCAGCAAAATGTACAGGATTCACCTGTAACTGTCCTTGTACTGTTCAATTTTGCCAAAAGTCTCCAGGTCTACAATAGTGTCTTCACTCTAACTAGCTGACTAAAGAACTGTCAATCACACATCCAAGACAACACCTAGGGTTGAGCAATATTTCATGTTAGGGCTTTCCCGGTCTGTGAGAAAACTTCACAAAACAACTGAACTTTTGAATCAGGAAAGAAAGATGTTACAGTTGAAGTACAGAAAAAAACAGGGAAGCAATTAATACGAGAGCCACAAACACTTTTACCTAACCTTGTTCACAGTAGAGATTTTTTCCAGTAAGCATGTTTACTAATTTATCTGGATTGTTGTTGAGTAACTCCCTCAGACCTGGAACAGTGCCTTATGTAAAGAAACCTTCCAGATAACTCAGTAAACCTGATTCCTTGAACAGGCCCCTGCATGCCCCATGTTCACACATGGGCACACACCTACACACAGCCTCCACCTCGTAGTCTCAAGTACCTTTACCCAGAGTAAACAGTGAGTAGAAGTGGAAATGGCTATTAATTAACTGAAAGTTTTTAATACTTTATTTTCCTTTTTCTTTGGCAACAATGTGTCTAAGTCTATAAATGCACTCATTCTGCAGCCCTCATTAGACACCAATGTAATAATTAATTTCCACATAATTAGCTGGTAAATGTTTTACCCTCTTTAGCTAATGTACTATAATGGTGCTAATCCAATACTGACATGCAGAGAATCTGAGGCTGATAGTCGGCTGATGGCCGTGCAGTTCACACTAAACTTGCCGTCTTGTGACAGTCGTTGACACTACGTGACTGTTCGGTGACAGGGGGGCCTGTGATCAGGAGTAAATCATCGGTCGCCAGTGTTTGTGTGAACTACACAATGGTGCATCAAAACGGCTCCCCAACACATTTCGGACACATCGCCGTCTGCCAGATATCTAGCATGCCAACCATCTGGAGGAGTCGGCTGTCGACATCCACATCCAGCCAATGAGAGCAGGCAGCTACTTTTTTTATTGCAAGACACTTTTTACTCACCTCCAGCTCTCTGTAGCTGAGACCATCACTGCTACCTGCCCGTGCTAATCCATTCTTTCACCCAAATTCTTTGTCTTTATAATTTCTATCTTTATAATAACAGACAACAGCTGTTTCGTGTGTAGGTTCGCATCATTTCCCGTTTCACATTTCACGTGTGTCTTCTTGACAAAACGTGGTTTGGAGACCAGAGTCGAGTGACACAGCTGCTCTCAGCTCCTGTAGTGAATCATGTTTTATGCATTTCACTGATCATTTACATAGTGTGAACACCACGACAACTTCAAGACTCCCGTCACAAGATGGTGAGTTGTGTAGTGTGAACGGCACGGCCATCGGCTGATGCTGAAAGTTGTGTAGTCAGCACCAGGCATTAAGGAGTTACCTGGCTGGTGGCCAGGTAATTAACCAGGCAGATGACACTGACTTGATGTTTTGATTGTCCTTGTGGTCATTTCAAATATATCTTTCAACATATGCCCTACACACAGAGGAATGATTGGAGTGGTTTCTTACAGGATGACAATGCCCAAATCCCCAGAGCACGAGGGCTCAGTGAATGGTTTGATAAGGCACTGATTCTTAAGATCTTGGCAAAAACATGTCCCACTAAGAAAACTAAAATTAATAACATTTTCTTATTTAAAACAACCAGGGTTGTTGATCTGAGGGTCTTCTGCATAAATATTGTTTATTTACATGTACTTATTTTAAAAATTATAAATTGTCTGATTTTTTTGACAGCCCAGTAGCCACAAAATCCATTGTTCTCAGACAAGAGATTTCATTTCAATTTGATAAAAAAAGGAGGAAAAAATAATTTTAAATGTATATTATGGAGGCCAGATGAAAGAGTAGAGTGAAAAACCTAGAAGCAGTGGATTCAACACTTATTGCTCTTATTTTAGGCCAGAGGCAGCTAGCAACAGAGGAAAACAAGATGGCTCCTGGATGTCGATCTTGTATGTCATGTTAAAAAGTATGTTTTTGTCACCACCGTCAGACGTCAACACTGTCAAGTTTTATGTCTGACAGTGAGTAACACATAGGTTGACGGTGTTGACAAAAACATCCAAATCATACACAAAGGAGGCTTTAATACTATTTATGATCATAATAAATAGTAATGGCTTTTAATGTTTCATTGACCTCTATGTACACAATACATAATTTCCCCAATGACTAAAAACTGACATACAACACACTGCAAAAGAGAAGGACCAATTAATAGGCTACTACCACCACCATCAGCTCTGTGTCACCACCGTCGGATGGATCTTTCTGCGTTTTTAATTTACATGCTTACAATCTATTCCTACAATGCAGTTGATTTATTAAATTTATGGTCACTATGAAAGGAATAGTTTTTTTGTATACTTAATGCTAATGATGAACGTTGCATGATGTATAAGTTTGTAAAAGAGTACATGAAATAGTGAACAAAAGTTAATATTCAACATTGAATAACATAATGTACCTATGGTGTAGACACAATGATTTTAAAGCTCTAAATCATTATAAGACTAAATAAATAAGAGGCCAAACAGGCAAAACACATATTTTATGAATTAATTACAAAATCAGGAGGCTGCACCAAAATATTGCTAGACTGGTGAGATCTTGTACAATAAATACATAAGTTTAGATTTCTTAAAATTACATTTTATTTCTTTTCAAAATTGAAACCTGTTTTATCCAAATTCTCAAGAATCAGTGAAAGATGAAAATAATGTGACCTTCAGTCACCAGATTTTGGTCCGACGTGTTTAACAGCGCTCTCCACTAGTGTTGTAGTCAAGTCCGCCCAAACCGAGAACAAGTCAAGACCGAGACCAGAGTTTATCGAGGCAGAGTCTAGACCCTAGACTTTTAGTGGCTGAGACCAAGTCGAGGGCAAGGGAGGGCGAGACAGAGTCAAGACAAAGACCAGTGCCCCACATGACACACAGTTTGTATTATTTATTATTGCAAAGCTCTGACTCACCACTGTGAGCTATACTCTTTGGATGGCCTCCTCTGGCCGCCCATAGGCTCTGTCATTGGTACACCTTCATATACAGTATAAGGCAATTCTTGGTCTGCTGCCATAATACCTATGTGTTCTTATTACACAGAAAAGTAATGTGCAACACTCTTTGTGTTCCCTGGACTACTTTCTGTGATAAATACCTGTACGAAAACTGGAAAAAGGCCATTTGTGTATACTGCACCCTCAGCATGGAATACGTTGCAAAAGGAATGAATGAATTATCTCAATAGGACACTCCTGGTTAAATAAAGGTTTTAATTATGGTTGTTTGTTCCTTAATTTGTCACCTGTCTATAATTTCATGAGATATCACACTTGACAATTTGTCATAATTATTACCTTTTAAAACCACCTTTTAAGCTTGTACATTACTGAGTTTCCATATAGTGACCAAAACCGTCTATAGCGCTTGTTTTATTTAAAAATGGCAGTATTAAATGTAAATAGAGAACATAAGTGCAACTACTTCCAATAGTTAGTCTTAAACAAAACCTTACTCGCCTATTTTTACAGATTTGTCTTTCAAATCAGCAGTTTTTACACTAATGTGTTCTCTGACATTTCTAGGACAGTGAAGATAGCCGGCGAGACAGAAAGACGGGACGCCAGCGCTCTCGATCCCGCTCAAGTTCCCGCTCTAAAGACCGGGACCACAAACACAGCAAGTCCCGGGTCAAACATGGGAAAGAGGGCCGTGATAAAAGCCACAGCCACAAGGACAGGAGCCGCAGCCGCTCCTCCAAGAAGTCCAAGGATAAAGACAGGAGTAGATACAGATGAGGGAGAGCAGCGAATGAAAGATGGTTCTCCTTACCTTTTATTGAATATATTTCTGTGACAGGAGAGTGGAGCCACATGAATTCACCATGAATTACATGGCATTTCAATATTTACAAGCCTAAACTCCTGGCTTCCTTTAAAATCACTTGACTTTGGCTTTAGGAAAAAATTCAACAATTATCAGGTCTTTGTCACATTGTCTTGAAGAACAAAATAGTTTAAGACTTTTTTTTTTTCTCTATTAAAAAATTACCCAAAATGTCAAGGCTGTTTCATGGTTTTTATCAGTTATTTATTTCAGTTCAGTTCCCTCTCTATTATTTACTTCCTCTGCACCTTCCCCTTACCGAACACATGTGGTAGATGATTAATATCTCACCTTTGACTTCAGTTTCTAAAAGCCTGAAAGTGTTTACATTCATTAAATGTAGGCATGGAAAATGACTGGGTGGAGTGTGTCACCACAGCACACGGAATTCACTGGTGTCTCCCTCCACCCACCTCATAGAGCTGGGGTGATACAATATCTCAACGTCTAATTGCATTAAACTGAAAGCTAACGTATGGCGCTGCAAGTTTAAGACAGACAGAGGAATTTTTAGAGTGTGAGGCAGTAAAGAGAAAATGCAACAAAGTAATGAGATACGAACTTCAGTGTTCATGTCAACAAACAATTTTTCAGTTACAGTCAAGTTCAAAGACATCCAAAGATGCAAACGTGTCAGACCATTACACGGAAATGCATAAAACATGACGCACTATGACATTATGAACCTATTTGTTGGCAGGATTAGTATATTTTCTATTAGGTATTATAGGACTGTAGATGCAAGAATTTACTTGAAATCTCTCTCTGATCATCAGCAAACCAAACCACAAACACATCAACACATCCATAGTCCCTTTACTCAACACGTAATTCGAAAGAAAGAGTCACCACACAATTTTTTGGTATTTCCCGAAAATACATAGTTGTTTTGTGGGTGGAGGAGAGGTGTGTGGTGATCAGAAATGGAAATATGTCTTCCGGAGTGAAGCTCAATAAATTCTAGAGGGGTGAGTCTGTAAGAGCTGAAAGGTGACAGCACTGAGCAGTGTGGAAAAAAAGGGTTGCACAGCTTCACTCCCCCAGGTGGAACCACTAGTATAGACTTCCCCAGCCGCCTACGCAAACATGCAGCACACCTCATTGTGCTCTTTAAACTTCTCATTTGTATAGTGGCAAAAACAGAAGTTATCTCATTGCAGTTTGCATATACAGCAGGTCTACACTCACCTAAAGGATTATTAGGAACACCATACTAATACTGTGTTTGACCCCCTTTCGCCTTCAGAACTGCCTTAATTCTACGTGGCATTGATTCAACAAGGTGCTGAAAGCATTCTTTAGAAATGTTGGCCCATATTGATAGGATAGCATCTTGCAGTTGATGGAGATTTGTGGGATGCACATCCAGGGCACGAAGCTCCCGTTCCACCACATCCCAAAGATGCTCTGTTGGGTTGAGATCTGGTGATTGTGGGGGCCATTTTATTACAGTGAACTCATTGTCATGTTCAAGAAACCAATTTGAAATGATTGGAGCTTTGTGACATGGTGCATTATCCTGCTGGAAGTAGCCATCAGAGGATGGGTACATGGTGGCCATAAAGGGATGGACATGGTCAGAAACAATGCTCAGGTAGGCCGTGGCATTTAAACCATGCCCAATTGGCACTAAGGGGCCTAAAGTGTGCCAAGAAAACATCCCCCACACCATTACACCACCACCAGCAGCCTGCACAGTGGTAACAAGGCATGATGGATCCATGTTCTCATTCTGTTTACGCCAAATTCTGACTCTACCATCTGAATGTCTCAACAGAAATCGAGACTCATCAGACCAGGCAACATTTTTCCAGTCTTCAACTGTCCAATTTTGGTGAGCTCTTGCAAATTGTAGCCTCTTTTTCCTATTTGTAGTGGAGATGAGTGGTACCCGGTGGGGTCTTCTGCTGTTGTAGCCCATCCGCCTCAAGGTTGTGCGTGTTGTGGCTTCACAAATGCTTTGCTGCATACCTCGGTTGTAACGAGTGGTTATTTCAGTCAAAGTTGCTCTTCTATCAGCTTGAATCAGTCGGCCCATTCTCCTCTGACCTCTAGCATCAATAAGGCATTTTCGCCCACAGGACTGCCGCATACTGGATGTTTTTCCCTTTTCACACCATTCTTTGTAAACCCTAGAAATGGTTGTGCGTGAAAATCCCAGTAACTGAGCAGATTGTGAAGACCGGCCCGTCTGGCACCAACAACCATGCCACGCTCAAAATTGCTTAAATCACCTTTCTTTCCCATTCTGACATTCAGTTTGGAGTTCAGGAGATTGTCTTGACCAGGACCACACCCCTAAATGCATTGAAGCAACTGCCATGTGATTGGTTGATTAGATAATTGCATTAATGAGAAATTGAACAGGTGTTCCTAATAATCCTTTAGGGGAGTGTAGATCACACTGTAATATTATTCAGAGACCCAACAATTCCTACCATGAGTTAGGATTTGCTTCTGTAATACCAAATACCAAAAATCCTATCTTAGACTCCTCCTATCTTAAGACTTAAGATAGGAACTTTCTGTAATACGGCCCCCAGTTCATTAATTGGGCATCTTTGAGGCCCTTGCTGGCTAGCTAAGCATTGGAGTACTTAGATACATGTGATGGATCATTGTCCTGCATAAAGATCATGGCCTTCTTGAAAACCGAGGACTTCTTCCTGTACCACTGATTGAAGAAAGTATCTTCCAGAAACTGGCAGTAGGTTTATGAGTTGAGTTTCAGTCAATCTTCAACCTGAAAAGGTCCAGCTATCTCATCCTTACTGATAGCAGCCCATAACAGTAGCCCTCTTCCACGCTGCTGGCGCCTGAGTCGAAGTGGTGTCGTGTCCAACAGTGACCCGGCCACGGGCCTGTCCAACTGGTTCATCAAGAGTCAAACTCATTTCATCTGTCCATAAACCTTTGAAAAATCTGTCTTCAGGTATTTCTTTGCCCAATCTTAACGCTTGTGAATGTAATTCAGTAGTGGTTGTGTTTCAGCCTTCCTGACCTTGGATCTCTCACACCAAGGCCATGTGTCTTATCCATTGCACCATTGCCACCCCCACCCCCATTTCTAGACACTCCAGGTAAATTGCAGTTGTGGAATATGGTGGCCCATTTTACCTGAAGTAATGAAGCAGCCTAATAATCATGCATACCTTGATTTAAAGTGTCATTCACTTTCGCCACACTCTCCCTTCATTACATAAACACATACCACCAGAAAATGATTAACTCCAAAGAGCATTCAAATTTATTTGGTTTGGAGTCGGAAAATGTGCATAGAAATAATTATTCATTCAGAATACTTACTTGCCAAATAATTGTACATGCAGTGTACTTTACATGTCTACAGTGGGTACGGAAAGTATTCAGACCCCTTTAAATTTTTCACTCTTTGTTTCATTGCAGCCATTTTCCAAAAATCAAAAAAGTTCATTTTATTTCTCAGTAATGTACACTCAGCACCCCATCTTGACAGAAAAAAACAGAAATGTAGAAATTTTTGCAAATTTATTAAAAAAGAAAAACTGAAATATCACATGGTCATAAGTATTCAGACCCTTTGCCGTGACACTCATATTTAACTCAGGTGCTGTCTATTTCTTCTGATCATCCTTGAGATGGTTCTACACCTTCATTTGAGTCCAGCTGTGTTTGATTATACTGATTGGACTTGATTAGGAAAGCCACACACCTGTCTATATAAGACCTTACAGCTCACAGTGCATGTCAGAGCAAGTGAGAATCATGAGGTCAAAGGAACTGCCTGAAGAGCTCAGAGACAGAATTGTGGCAAGGCACAGATCTGGCCAAGGTTACAAAAAAATTTCTGCTGCACTTAAGGTTCCTAAGAGCACAGTGGCCTCCATAATCCTCAAATGGAAGACGTTTGGGACGACCAGAACCCTTCCTAGAGCTGGCCGTCCGGCCAAACTGAGCTATCGGGGGAGAAGAGCCTCGGTGAGAGAGGTAAAGAAGAACCCAAAGGTCACTGTGGCTGAGCTCCAGAGATGCAGTCGGGAGATGGGAGAAAGTTGTAGTAAGTCAACCATCACTGCAGCAATCCACCAGTCGGGGCTTTATGGCAGAGTGGGCCGACGGAAGCCTCTCCTCAGTGCAAGACACATGAAAGCCCGCATGGAGTTTGCTAAAAAACACCTGAAGGACTCCAAGATGGTGATAAATAAGATCCTCTGGTCTGATGAGACCAAGATAGAACTTTTTGGCCTTAATTCTAAGCGGTATGTGTGAGAAAACCAGGCACTGCTCATCACCTGTCCAATACAGTGTCAACAGTGAAGCATGGTGGTGGCAGCATCATGCTGTGGGGGTGTTTTTCAGCTGCAGGGACAGGACGACTGGTTGCAATCGAGGGAAAGATGAATGCGGCCAAGTACAGGGATATCCTGGACGAAAACCTTTTCCAGAGTGCTCTGGACCTCAGACTGGGCCGAAGGTTTACCTTCCAACAAGACAATGACCCTAAGCACACCGCTAAAATAACGAAGGAGTGGCTTCACAACAACTCCGTGGCTGTTCTTGAATGGCCCAGCCAGAGCCCTGACTTAAGCCCAATTGAGCATCTCTGGAGAGACCTGAAAATGGCTGTCCACCAACGTTTACCATCCAACCTGACAGAACTGGAGAGGATCTGCAAGGAGGAATGGCAGAGGATACCCAAATCCAGATGTGAAAAACTTGTTGCATCTTTCCCAAAACGACTCATGGCTGTATTAGATCAAAAGGGTGCTTCTACTAAATACTGAGCAAAGGGTCTGAATACTTATGACCATGTGATATTTCAGTTTTTCTTTTTTAATAAATTTGCAAAAATTTCTACATTTCTGTTTTTTTCTGTCAAGATGGGGTGCTGAGTGTACATTACTGAGAAATAAAATGAACTTTTTTGATTTTTGGAAAATGGCTGCAATGAAACAAAGAGTGAAAAATTTAAAGGGGTCTGAATACTTTCCGTACCCACTGTATGTGGAACTTGCCCACCCTGAGTCTTGAATTTGTGAATTTGTCCTTTCCTCCGTGTCCAAGTGTTTGCTAACTTTAGGAATCCTATCTTATCTTACTTCATCCATTCTTATCTCAGGTTAGGAAATCCTAAATGCTCGATCCAACATTGGTTTTGTCATCAAACGCATCGGTAGAATCAATTAAGTTCTGCCTG